GATTTCGTCCTATTAGCCTAGCTACCCCTAAGCCGATAACGATTGGCTGGTCAGTTAGCGTCGCTTGTCTATCCTTTTTCTATCTATTGCTCGGAAGGTCTTGCTGATTCCCCTCATTCGCGTATCGGCGGTCTAGCTCACTTTCACGCGCTCAGTCGCCCCTACCTTAGTCTAGCTAAGTCTGCCTCAGTTAACGGGGGCTTGCGATCGGCTGATCGCGGCTGGAAACTTTAAGGGCTTCCAGCTTCCCGGGGTCGTGAGTGCGCGAGGGGTTGTACGCGAGCGTAAGGGTCGTGCGCATCGGTCAGGGAGACTTCCGGAGGCCATAGTTCGCGAGATCCGGATGTGCGTGGGCGGGTGTATGCAGTCGTGGCTGTTCTGCTGCATAGTGCCGGTAGTGTATATTTTTCGTGTGATGACGCATCATCACACAATATTACTTTCTTTATTTGTTTCTATAGAAAGTCAATTTAAAAATGGTACTGAAGCTTTTAGGACGCTTGGAACTTTAGGATACACAATTTGTGAAGTTGTTGCTATGTTGTAAACTTCGTAATTAGATTAAATAAATATAACATTCTTGGCTACTTGTTTCCATATAGCTGATGAACAATCTTTTTTATTTTGGTTAGTTATATGGGCTGCATTTACTGTATAAAATATTACGAAACTGTTTAGACTCTTGTTTGTCATATAGCAACTATAAAAATTTAGTGTAAAACTGTTAAAACTTTTGTGAGAAACTTCTTCGAATTCTTTTATTTTCACAAATAAAACAGAAACAATTAAAGCTAAAATCGAACTGTTATAAAGATAGAGATTGGTTTATCCCTACAAAGTTTGAAGGTTATCTTACTACATAATTAAAACTAATTTACAGAAGTATCCATCGTTCATTCTACTATTTTAAAACCAAAGTAATCGAGTATGAAAAAAGTTTTTGAAAAAAATGGATTATAAAGAACATAACTGTAAAATTTATGGTGATCTCAAAATAATAACTATATTATTAGGTAAATAATCAGGTTACGCAAGGTATCCTTGCCTTCTATGCTTATGGAACAATGCAATTAGAGGAAACCATTATAGAGAAAGTGTTTGGATAGAATGAGGAAAATTAAGACCTAGTTCTAAAAATCTTTTACCAAAAATTAGTAGAACCTACAAAAATCCTTCTTTCGTCTCTTCAGATTAATCTTCGTTTAATGAAAAAGTTTGTCCTAAAATTAAATAAAGAAGGAAAATTTTACCAATACATACGGCAATAATTTTCTAATATATCAGACGCTAAATTAAAATAAGGAGTTTACACATTCTGCTAAATGATTAGAATTTTGTAAATACAATGTTTAAAAACGAAAAATGTGCTTAGGTTGAATGTTGTTCTAAGAAAGAACTTCTTAGATTACAACTTGTAGCGGGAATTTTCGGGGGGTCTTAGCCTCGCTCTCGAATCTCTTCCGCCACAAGGCCTGTTTGGCTCTTTATCCCCGATTTTTTAGGGCGCCAGACCGCCGTGTAATTAGGGTAATCGTCGGGGATAGGGCCTAATGTCGCAACGTACTCCGGTTTGCTCCAAGGGCGACTACGCAGTGTGGGCAAACGTATGGAGACTCGCGATCTCCTCTATTCCAGGCCTTGATGTCCAACAATTTGGCTTCCTTCAATCTTCTCGTTTGTAATGTGCCGGTAGCTCAGGTTGTGACACTCTACCTCGGGTCGAAGGTTCGTTCGAATTCGCGCGTATTTCACCTATCGTGGGAACCGAAAAATAACGAACCAGTGTTTTCCGATTACAACCGTCCACGGCTGAAAATAATCAGCATGCAAAGAAGGTAGGGTGACAAGAAGCCAAATTTATAAAGAAAAATTGATCACTCGTTATTAAATTTATTTCACCCTACATACGCACGTGGTCTAATTAACTAGAGAGACTAAAATTTTTTCATTCGATCTTTGATTAAACGAAAATGGCGGAATGGTCAGCGCGACGTAATCGAAGAATTACTACCTGGTTTAATTAGACTTAACTTTCAATTACGTCCTAATAATCGAGCAATTAGCGCGACCTAACTCAACTACTAATTATCTTCCGATTAATTAAACACTTACTCTAAATTCGGATGAAGGCGAAAGGTCAGCACGAATTTGCTAAACACTAATCTTCTTCGCGCCTAAATCTCGCGGTAAATTAGAATACTGGCGAAAGGTCAGCGCGAATGATCTAAACTCTGATTTTCTTTGCCTAATTCTAAGACTCACGTTAAATACCAAGAAATGGCGGAAAGGTCAGCGCGAATCACTTGAAACAATAAGTATCGGCATCGACGGATCCACGCGTCGCGGCGACCTGTTATACCGAGAGATTTACAGCCGCACTCCGCGATTTCTAATAGTGAGTGGCACTTTACCTACTTACAATTTTCTGCTGAAGATTCGACAAGCGAAATTACTGCGGGAAGAACTAGCACAATCACTCCTTCTGGCTAGAAGAGTAGCGGCAAAATGGACGAGAATCGGCTTTTCGCGGTCATAGATCGCTGTTCTTCTCCTCTTTTCGAGAAGAAATACTATTATTGGTCAATATGCTAATTCGGATATCGGTAGCGCTCTCCGAATATTTCATCATTGGTCCGTATGTAAATTAGAAAGATACAGCGCCCTCGTTTATTCTTCTACTTTCTCACCCCCCCCCCCCCCACTAAGTTAGCTAGCATTGATTGATGGGAAAGATCTACCCCTACTCTTATCTATTTTTCTATGCGGACGGAAATCAAATTTTATTCTAACCCGCTTATTGGTCGTGACGTCACCAGCGAGTTTCGTCAGAGGCTCAAATTTTATCAGTCAATTTATCAATTTAATTTATCGGAACGTTGGTCGCTTATCATTAGGGTTGTCGGTCGCATACAAATTTTTTTAATTCAGTATTTTTCCATTTTCGTTTTTAATTTCAACTTTAATTAATTGCGAGTAATAAAATAATTTAAGTCATTTCATTTGTAGCGCCCTCATCTTCACATTTACATTTAATTCTATTTATCATTTCGCTCGTTTCATAAAGTCTATCTCGCTCGCTCTTGTTTAGTCTATCTTGCTCGCTCCCGCTTAGTCTGTCTCGCTCGCTCACGTTCAGTCTGTCTCGCTCGCTCGCTCTCAGTCTGTTTACCTCGCTCATATTCAGTTTGTCTCGGCGCTTTAAAATGGCCGCTCGCTCTCTCGCGCGTGCACCTCGTGCTCCGATACCGGTCTTTGGAGCGCCTCCTGGAGCGCTCCTGTTTTAGTCAGGTGATGTGTTTTCGAGTGTTTGTTTTTCCGGGTGTCATTAGTGGTCATCATTGTGAATGTGTGGCGCTCAGGATGTCGCCGATGCTGTGCGGCAGCCCGACACAGCTGATTGCCGGCTGCCACTTCATCAGCGATTTTCTGCTCACCTCAGGTGTGCTAGCGTCCCACGAGTGTTAGTGTTAGTATCTGAGAGTGTAACGGACTTGCATGTGTCATCAATATGCATTTCCATTGCATTTCCCAGTAAAGTTCCCCGTGTTTTTTCTCCGGTCGGCAACAGGTAGTCGTGAGGGTGAGTGTGTGCGTGCGCTTTCTTATTTTGTAGTGTACTCCATTTTTAAGTGTTCGTTGGATCACGTTCGAAGATATTGCTTTGCCAATATCTTCGGTGTTGTTGTTCGGACATAAAAGAAAATGAGTGTCTGTTTTAGGGCGCGTCTGGGTTCGCGTTATACGACTGGTTACGGGGTGGCAAGGGACAGGAATGGCTTTCCTGAGGTGTTGCAAATAATGCAATACTCTCAGGTAAAGCCTTGTAATGTATCGCATTACAATCTAAAGTTAAAATTACAATGATATCGTAGGCAAATTACTGAAAAGATACGAAAAGTTATGTTGTTTAATGAATCTGAAGTTGTATTTCCTTCATTCTCATTTAGATTACTTTCCTACTAATCTAGATAACTTTAATGACGAATAAGTAGAATGATTTCACTAGAACATAAAAAAATGTAAGCACAATATCGAGGAAGATTGGACGTTAACGTCGCGGCTGATTTTTGCAGGTGTCTAACAAGAGAGGTTGTTCCAAGAGGAAAGAAATGTAAATGAAATCCATTAAGATTTTTTAATCCAAAAACACGAGGAAGAGTATTGTAATCATAATTATTGTAATCATAAAAATAAATGCACACTTACAACAAAATTATGTGTACTTGAAGTTTTTAAGCTCATAACTCACGATATTGTCTACTACATGTACACGAGTTTCAGGTCTATATCCTCTACTATTTAACATATCTATATTTTTCAACATTTTTGCCGAATTCTCACAAAGATGATCTGCTAGGATAATTCTGACGTCAAATTCAAATTGATCAAGCCTACAAACATGTAGAATATCTGATCTGATTTCCGACACTGTACAGTTTTGTATTTGACAAATACTATATTGATGTTATACAAATTACTAAAAAATTACAAATAATTTTTTAGTACTTTTGCTGAGTTCTGAAAAAATCTGAGCTGAAATTTACAAAAATAACTTTTGAAGGTAGTCAATGTCGATCAGCTTGCGTGATTTGGCATCTTCAAAATATGGAGGTTGCTTAACACCATGTCGATTGAGTAAAATTCTAACTTATAGGTCCGGATTTTCAAAACACTAGACAATTATTCATAAAGTAAAGGCGAGATACATAAGAACTGTTTGAATTTGTGAGTTAAGATGTGTTGAGATATCGATTAGCTCAAATGTTACTCGAATATTGTTCTCTTTAGAACAAACAGGCAATTTTTTCCAATCAGATCTTTCAGTATTATAACAGAACAAAATACTCAGATAAACTACTCTGCGAATGTCATGAAATAATAATTAATAATGCTAATAACGAAATATATACTTTTCATCATTTCCATTTAATCTATAATATATGAAAATATAGAAATTGTTAAGTTGAATTCATCACTGTAAATATAAGTACTGAAATTACCTTCGAATTAGATAAAGTTTTTTCTTTTGTTACTCCTTCTACTTCAATGAGAGCTCGAGAAGCTACGGCTGCACTCTGTTCTTTATATTGAATATCGTTTGATTGTATAGCTCTCATCTCTGCTCGATTAGCTGTTGCTTTTTCAGCTTTAAAACCTTCAGTTATTACCTATATACAAAAAGTAGTAGTTGATTAATTTTATTATAATTACTAGAATACTGCAATTAAATTTTTGTTAAATAAAATGATTGCTATATCAAACTATATAAACGATTTTATTACTTATACAGTCAATAGTTATAATGATCAATGAGAGAAAAGTTGGATAGTTAATGAAATAACCTATCGTTTAATAACACAGGCCTATAAAATTTCAAAATGGAAAATACCAAGAAACGCTATAGTAAATTTCCGTAGGGTTCGGAAGTGGATAATCTGAATCTGGCTTCAGAATTGACATATCACCTTATATTTTCGAGATATCTTAACCTAAAAGTGCTACAATCACGATATTTTTCTATGTTCAAGGTTATGTAACATTATTAATAAACTTTTTCCACGGCAAAGTGAAGCCATAACAATGCAGCACTATTGCCCATTGAAACCTATTTTTAAATTAGACTTATCTTTTTTATACATCGAGATATCATTGATTGAAGTTAAGTACTTTAGCAGTTACGCAATAAGATTAAATACGTGTATCTAGCATATTCCAGACTCTTGAACTTCAGTTGCTTTAAGTTCTAATCCTTGTAACCTGTGACTATGTAACCTTTGACCTTTGAACTCTAATTACCTTAATCCAACCTCCGATTCCTGTAAGCTAGTAGGAAAGAACCTTACATCCTTGAATACCAATTGCCTTAACTTTCCACTCCTGTAACCTATGACCATATAACTCCAGTTCTCTGAATCTCATTTGCCATAACCTAACTCAACCTAACTTCTGTAATCTATTATTTTAATGCTGTTTAGAAACTGTTAAAATAATTAACATTAATCAATGATATATCATTGAAAAAAATCAAATTCAAAGAAAAATATCTCTAATTCAAAAAATGAAGTTCAAATGGCAGGAGTGCTGCTTTGTATTGCTTTTACTGGTTCTTGGAAATAAAATGTATTCAAAATGTTACACAATCTCGAACATAGCAAATAATCGTGATTTTTTCACTTTTAAATTAGGATATCTCGAGAACCTTGGGTGATAAATTAATTCTGAAGCCAAACTCGGATTCAGCGCATCGAATCTTCGAAATATACTGTTGCGTTACTGATTTTTTTTTTTTTTGATGTAGCCTGCGTAATAGAAAACGTCTCATCAGCAATTTCGCTGACCTCCTGAGATTTTATTAAAATACAAGAAACAACAAGAACAACGCAAATTTATTAAATTGTTACACGAATCAATAACTCAAAGTAATATTCATATTTGCTTTGTCAATAACGATTAAATCGTGTATAAGCTATGGAATATTTCTCATAGTCAGACGAACTAAAATGAGAAAAATTTTACCTTGCATTGATGTTATATACTATCAATATCAACTAAATAATGAGATTAAAACCTTAATTTTAATCTGTTTTAAAGAAATTAACAAAGGATTTACATAAGTGATTAAGAAATTATACATTCTCTTTCTTTTTCAAGCTGTTATTCGTTAAACCAATGTATAGCATTTTTAAAATTTTGCGTTTTTTGTAATTATTTTTGTAATGCAATATCTTAGTATATCTCTCTTAAAAATTATGTGATAAGGTATTCTTATGTACCATACTAAGTTGCACTCCTAATGTTTTTTTGATATTCGCTTAATCACGTTCCTAGTGATTTTTTACTTTTACCAATATAGACTACTTGATGTCGTTTACATTAAAACTTGTATACAATACCATTTCTTTCTAATAACTTAGTTTTATCTTTTTCCGAATGTATTATTTTTTGTAGCGATTTGCTTAATTAAAATTTTTTTTTAAATATTTTGGCCTTTCAGAATGGCTATATATTTTTAGATTAAGTAGACAAACTAGAGAGGCCTTAGCTCAGGGGGGTATCAGCTCACTGAACTGATGTCCTGCATTTTGAGCTGATGCCCGTGCATTTTCACTACGGCACTGTCAACTCACCTCCTCCTTTTCCCGTACTAAGTTGATGCCCGTACTTCGGCACTGTCGACTTACCTCCCCTTCCCTCCCTTACTGAACTAATGCACGTGCATTGCATGCCGTGCTTTGGCACTGTTGACTCACTTCACAACCTCCTTTATTGAACTGATGTGCTCCCTGAGCTGATGCCTGTGCGTTCTATATTTCATGCTTTCTGATCATTGTACTTGTGTGTGTGTGTGTGTGTGTATGTGTGTGTTTGTGTATCTGTTAAATATTTCAGACTTAATAAAGTAAATTTTATTGAAAAAAACAAACGAACAGGTCGGGGGATCGAACCCGCGTCCTCTGGATCCGAAGGTAGATGCTTTACCGCCAAAGCCGCTGCCACTAGTACCTCAGACAATTCTTATCGTCTATATTTGCTATTCATGATTGGTATAGGGCCCCAAGCAACTCGTATATGATAAATTTTTTTTGCAGTACAACGTGTGGTATGCGCGCGCGCGTGTGCCTGTCACCTACCGTAGATGGTTTAATAAAAAAGTGCAACTACCAAGATGAAATAATAAATTATTTTTTATTTACAAAAATTTATAAAAAACTGTAATAAAACTTATTGTAATTACTGACTACTGCTGCTACTGCTGCTGTCGTCGTCAGCGCACAATTTCGCTATTTCATAGCGCGGTCCACCGTCCAGCCAATCACTTACAAATGTTAGCCGCTTTCTGCCAGCGATGACGGTGCGTATTGGTTAACTGCTGGTGGTGGTGACGCCGAACGATGTTGAGGGATGCTGGTTATTCGTCGATGTCGAGGACTGCTGGCTTCTTATCGGTGATGATGTCGACGGCTGCTGGCTGTTCGTGTCCGTCGGAAACCTTGATTGGGACAGGATCAGCTAACACACAACGTGCCTGACGGGTACGATCCTCACAACACATCTCCGACTTCCACACTGTGGAGGTAACTCCAACCAGTGCGGCCGCCGACTGCAGCGACCAGCAGCACAGTATGCGCAGTCCTAGCCCTCGCAGTCTGGCATGGTGTGGTCGTGATTGTCGACCTGCAACGAAGAAATGAAAGAAACTTATAATAAAGTGCCCCGATTAGAAAAAAAAGTATTATTTGTATTGAAAAAACAAATCATACCTTTCCTCATCGGCGCGATGTTTCTCGTTGCTTTTGCTACTCTGGTGAAACTAAATTTACCAAGAGCGATTGAGGCGCCGGGAGATCTATGAAAGGTGCTGGAGGCATCACTAGGTCAACATGTGTCACGCGTCGTAGTGGTGGTGGTGGACGCGTAACGATAACCTCGCATATCATCTCCAAGTCATCATCATCATCAGATCTATAAAAAAAAATTATATAGGAAAAAATAATTTATATATATACGAGGGTGGTCCGATAAGTACTTAGCCTCACCGCCCGATGGCGCCACTCTCGTAAAAGAAATATTCTATCACGTAGTACAACCTTCTCGATGGTTACTGTCGAGATTTCAGCCGGATCGGAGTTGTAGTTTATTTTTGAGAGCGTGTGAAAGCAAGTCTGTCCGTTGATTTTTGAAAAATGATAAAAGAGCAGTATCGGTCGGTGATTCGATTCTTGCTTTTGGAAGGGAAATCGCGCAGCGAAATCAAAAAGCGCTTGGATGCTATGTAGGTGACTCTTCTCCTTCAATGGCGACCGTCATAAATTGGTTTAACGAGTTTCAACATGGTCGCACGTCGATTTTTGAAGAGCCACGTCCAGGTGCTCCGAAAACAGCTACCACGGAGGATAACGTGACAAAAATTCACGATCTCGTATTTGGCAGATCGACGATTGAAGGTGCACGAGATAGCTAAGATCGTAGGCATCTCAAAAAACCGCGTGGGTCATGTCTTGCATGAAATTTCGGGCATGAGAAAGCTGTCGGCGCGATGGGTGCCGCGTTTGCTCACTCCGAACAGCAAGCGCAACCGTGAGACAACTTCAGAGCAATGTCTGACGCTGTTTAAGCGCAATCCGAAGGAGTTTCTGCGTCGTTTCGTGACAGTCGACGAAACATGGATACACTGGTATACACCAGAGATCAAGGAACAGTTGAAACAGTGGACTTTACCCAGAGAAAGTGCTCCGAAGAAGGCGAAGACTGCCCCATCGGCCGGAAAGGTGATGGCCACCGTTTTCTGGGATTCACAAGGTGTGATCTACATCGACTACCTGGAGAGGGGCAAAACGGTCACAGGGCTGTACTATGCCGAATTATTGGGCCGATTCGACGTCGAATTGCAGAAAAAACGGCTCCATTTGGCGAAGAAAAAAGTGCTCTTCCACCATGACAACGCACCGGCTTACACCTCCGCCGTCGCCATGGCCAAATTGGTCGAATTAGGCTACGAACTGCTGCCCCATCCACCGTATTCTCCAGATTTAGCCACGTGTGACTCCTTTTTGTTTCCAAACCTAAAAAAGTCACTCGCCGGGCAGAAATTTGAGTCGAATGAGGAGGTAATCGCTGTCACGGAAGCCTACTTTTCAGATCTCGAGGAAACGTATTTTTCAGACGGGTTAAAGAAGTTGGAGCATCGCTGGGCCAAGTGTATCGAACTAAAAGGAGACTATATTGAAAAACAAAATGCCACTTTTCCAAAATTTTCGTTTTTCTTTTATAGGCTAAGTACTTATCGGACCACCCTCGTATATATATATATATATATATATATATATATATTAAAAATTATATATTAAATATATAATTTTCAATATATTGTTATATTGTATATAATACATATATAGATATAACTTACACATATACCTCAATTATGATCGGGAGCATGGAGACGCAGGCAATAATTGAGAGTAGCGACCGACACCTGCTGTAATAGTATTAATAAATTAATTAATTTATTAATCAAATATAAATTTAATATGAAGAACAGATATGTTCTTCATATTAAATTCTCTACATTAAAAGAAATAAGAGTGCACGAAGTAACCATTCACTATGCTGATAATAACGAAACCGTCAAGTATTGTGAAAAGAATGCGATAGAGAACAAAGAACAAAA